ATACATTGGAGTTATGGCATGTTATACATGACCAGTGAAGCCTGATCAGAAAATTTTCTACTGGCGCCGATGACAGAGCAGGATTAGCTAATTTAGTGTCTAATTCGGAGTCTTAGGTCCTCGCATCCCCACGGAATATCACAGAGCACGTCACCGTCTTTCCTCTCACCTCATATCCCTCTCTCCTTTCACACCAAAGAACCACCCCGTACGGACCACACTAATTTAATATTTACACATCCCTTTCCCTCTCCCCTTTCCTGTCTCGGGTTGACGTTAACCTCATGTCTGATTCAACCGTACCTCAAAAAGAAAATGACCGCCGTTATAATCGAGCGAGAGTCGGATGGGCCAGATGCCTGATTTTCGAATTCCGACCCCCGACTTTGATCGATTTTATGCGCGCAAAGATCAGCTTTTTTTATGGCCGTGCAGATGGCGGGAAATGCGAGTTAGCGAGAGTATTTTTGGAGATGGATTTTAAACTTTTGATCTGAAGGATGCTTTAGGGGTTAATGAAGGGTACTGTAAGCTGCATTTTTGGCGATTTTTTTAGCTACAAATTTTTGCAGAAGGCTTTAATTTCTTGAATTTTGAAGAAGTTAAAGATTCTCTACAACCTTCGAATTATATTCGCTGTAGATCCGAATTACTGTGGTGCAAAAAACCACTTCTATTTCCTTCAATTTCACGGCTATGTTGAACCTCTTTTACCGCCAACATCTTCTTTTCGAAACCTCTTCGCAACGTACTTATTCAAGTCCTCCGAGGACCTGTTCGTTCCCAAATCCCTGCCCATTTCTTTGTCTTCGAAATTTGCGCGGTCAAGCCGTTTAATTTCCCCCCTGCCCCAAAATTCCGCCTTTCGAGGACACACCGCGAACTCCGCACTCCATTCTTTCGGCACTGCAAAAACGCAAATGCAAACAAAAGAAAATGCAAAATGCGGCCTCGCGCACAGAGTGCATTTGAAGAGAGGAGAGCGGCGAGAGAAGGGACGAGTGCAGATGCGAAGGGGTCTTCTCATCTTGCACTCGCCCCTTCCTCCTCCCCCACTGACCTCCACTTGTCCGTCGTTGACCGGTCGTGCCGAAAATGGACAAGTCCACAGGAGAGCAGGGCGATCGCTGAGGGGAAAACGAGGATATTTTGGGGAGGAAATAGGAGGTGTTTTATGGGAAATCGGAGGGTTTGGAACGTGTGGACACTGTGGTGTTTGCAGGCGTTTATCAGTTAGAACTTTGGGGGCCATTAAATGTTTATCGATTATCGTTTTCAAAAACAAATTCCACCTTTTTCGCGGAGTCTTATCAACTGGTCATTTCGGCGGTGTCCAGCCGCGGAATGGAACCAAAAAAGTGTTTATTGCCAAGCCGAAAACATTTAGGTCAATTTAAAAAATTGTTCGAATATGCCTCGAGGCAAACTTTGAGAGCAAAATCAATGCAATCCCCAGCTCTTTTTGGCTTTGAATTTTGATTTGAGCTGTATTTTGTGACCTTCTAAGGTCTGCTAACTCCCTTTTGAGACCTTTAACTGTGCTCTAAAGCCTTTTTGGCAATGAAAACTAACTCCAACCTGATTCATATTCAATATGAAAGCGTTGATCAGACTGCGAACTAGGTCAGCCAGCCGTTTCTTTCTGCTTCCTCTTCGCTTTTTCCCAGAGGACGTGAACGTGCCAGAGGGCAAGGGATCACCGCCAAAAAAAGCGGAGAGACCACCGTCCCCCCAGCTGCACCGAATCAGCCGGCCTGAACTCGGACGCGCCTGCGTCGACGGCGATAATGGCCAGCGGGTTTCTTTCTCTTTTTTCTCTCCCCTCTTCCTCGTTTTTTCGTGTCAGCCAGTGCAAGTGGCGCCGAGAACGGGGCGAGGAATGGTGTTGGAAACGGAGGGGGTGAAAGCTCGGGGAGTAGGGGCGAGCCGAACGGGGTCGGGGCCGCCATTCGCTCTCGACCGCTTCGAATTCGTTCGTCCCGGGGGTCGAGATGCAGACGGGCAAAAAAATTGGGGGAGAAAACGCGGCGCGAGGCCGAGTGCAGAAAAAGTCGCCCCCACACGGTCCGAACTGTCGCGCTCTCGGGAATAATGACTAATGATGGAGAGGGGGTTTTTGCAACCATGCCGTGGCCGAGGTGCAGAAATTGCGCGCACTGGTTTGACCGTTAAATTTGAGGGAGCGATGTCACGATTCTGTGAAGAATTCCCAGAAATTAGCATAAACCGACGAATGTGGATATAAATGTAATGGACCGATCCCTTTTCGGTCACTCGTTTGGGTAAAATAAACCAAGTATTGTAATTTGTTGGAAGTCCTTTTGATACAGTCCGGTGGTGTCCAAGCTCATTGGAATCGAATTATCGCGAGTTCGTAGTTTTTCAGCTAGAATTTTCTAGTCATGGCTTGTCGTTTATTAGGGAGATCAATTATTAGTCTAGCAGGCAAACTAAGGGCGAAATGCGAAAGATTTTGGAAGGGTTCTTCTGGATTTTTGGAATTTTCCCGATCTGTAAGGGGATGTGCGTTAACTGTGATGTCATTTTAAGGTGTCTAAGATAGCCTAGCTTCTTAGAGGACAACCAAATTTTATGTTGGACCTTAGTTTTTTCTTCGGAATGCAATTTTTTGATCTTTCTTGAAGTCATCTTTTGCATACGGTTTTTACAGTCTATCGCTCTTCATATTGCTACCGAAGTATCTCCGATACCCCTTGTATATCTTGCTCTCTTTCAACCTCAGTCTCATTATCCCTCCCAGCACTCGAGGTTCTCCCTCAAAAATCCGAAATACCGTTCGAATTCCTCGGCCCTCGACCTTCCCGCAAATCCCGCTGACCGGTTGATGAGGCTTTGTTTCACGTTCCGCAAAAAATGGGATTTCCGCGACACTCGGTGACAGATTGTTGAGTCGTCGTCGTCTCTCTTCCTTTTCGCGTTGGAGGGGGGATAAACCTGCGCGGAGAAGGCGAAAGGGTGGGGAAAATCAGGCCGAGGCCGTTGGCGGGGGGACGACGATCCAGTCGCTTTACAGAAAGTGGATTTTTTGTGCGTGAATCGGCGCGGCGTATAACCGTAGGAGGGCCGCCGCCTGCAGGGCTCAGATGGTTTTTGGCTGTTGTTGGGGCTGTGTGGAGAAGGTACAAGCGTCGGTGGATATTGCTGTATTTGAAGGTTTTCTAAGGATTTCTAAGGGGCGTTTTGTAAATCTGTTAGCCTGATATTTGTTGTTACTTGCAGTCAGCGGTCTTGAGGTCTTTTCCTGAGCTTGCAAACAGTGAAGGAAAAATTTGAAGGTAGTTTAAAGGGCATAAGTATTACTAATGATGACTTTTTGTCTGTAATTTCAAAAATTCTAATCCTGCAATTACGATTAAACCTCAGACACGTCTGTAGTGCTCTCTCAAGATTTCTCGAAACTAAATTCTTAATCTCAGGCCTTCCCCGTTATCTCTAGAACCGCAAAATTTTGTCCATGACCATTAAAATTAAATGGCCAGAACTTTGACCTCCCCTTCAATGGGCTTATAAATCCTCGACCAAAATACAGCGCGCTTCCCAACGTTCCACATACCATATCCCTTCCTTTGACCTGTCAATCCTGCCCCCCTTTTATCCCTTCCCGAAACCATCAAGCCGTTGCACAAGCTGTCGGCGTTCCGTGAGCCCCGTGTCCCCCTTCCTCTCCTCCACTTGTTTCACTCTTTGTTCGTTGCGCGATTGATGGTCATCGCGACCTGCGGAGAGAACGTCGAGCGAAAGTGGGAGCCGGGGGACGGGCTCTGCGGTGTCGCGCGGCAACCTCAAATTGCGGGCTCTCCTTCTCTCCGCCGCCGCTGCCGTTTTTTCGAACACATCCAATTCACATTCCCATTTCGCATTTCGGGCGCTTGTTTTTCAGCGCGTATTTTTGTCGCGAAACAATGTTGTTTTGGTCAGGCGCTTCGAAATTCGGAGACTGTAGATGGCCGGTTTCGAAAAGCGATTTGGCGCTAATTGTTCTGGACGAGGGGGGAATTTGCATAAGGCTTGGAGTGACCGCTGATGGGACTTTTCGATTTTTGAGGCGCTGGGATACGGTGGTTTTTTAATCATAATTCTAGAGCCTTCTGGACTACAAATTTTTATCAACATCTCACTGAAAATTCTACTTTTTTGATCGAGATTTTTAAGTAAATTTTGCCTCAAAAGTTTCTCTACGTACCCCTTGACCGCCTAAACTTCTTTGTTCTCCCGGGAACGCTGCTCTTTTGCAAATTCAGCGGCCAAAATTAGCCTGCTTCAATGACCACCAAAGTCCAAAGGTCCTCACTTTTTTCCGCCCTTTTATTTCCCCAAACTGACATCAAAAACCCGGGGTTTTCAACATTATTCAAATCTCCAAATGTCTGGCCTACAGGCCGAGATATGGCCTACATTTCTCGGGCGTTGTTGTAAGAGTGTAATCCAATTTCCTTGTTAACTCCCCGAAACTCTTGGCCATGTTTTCGCTGGCCAATCAGCGCGCCCGGTCCCCAAAGTCCATTCCTCTTCGTCGCTGCGGGGCGTTTGGCACGGTCCACATCCGCTCCGTTCTCCCGGTCCACTTACAAATTTATGGCCAGCGGTGCGGCCTAGCACGGCCAAAAAAAAACGATGGCCAATTTTTTCTTCGCTGTCGTTCCGCCGAAAAAATGGGAAAAATTTATTCGAAATGGGCGTGGCCTGTTGACCGGTCAGCCGCGAAATTCGGAGTGGTCGGAAGGCCGATTGCGTGGAGAGCGGGGGGAAGGCGAGAGAGAGGGGAGATAGTGTGTGAAATGAGGAGAGTTTTGAGAAAAAAATTGGTGAACTGCCAGTTGAATTGCGTGAGGAGAGGGGCGATGAAAATAGCGTCAAAAGTCGGGGAGACGTGAAGAGATTGGAAAGAAGTAGAAGGACGGGAGAGTGCGCCAACTCAATCTTTGTTTAGCGTAGTCCCCAGAGGTGGTAGTGCTCTCTAGAGACTCCTTTCGCTCTCTCTACTTTCGCGCTTCTTCGCCTTTCTGTGGGGCTGCGGGGGTGACCTCTCTCTCTCTCTCTCTCTCTCTCTTCTCCACCCTGTTCGAGTGCACAGCCAAAGAACACGGAGGCCCGAGCGAGTTGGCAGAGAGCGCGCGGATTCGCGAGAGCGTGGAGCCGGCGGGCGCGGACCACTCGGTGCTGGTCACTGGGCCGGCGGCGTCGCCGCAGACGACCGCCGCGTCATCCAAACAGAAAAAAAAACTGACGCGAGGGGCGGGACGTTCCGAAATTTCGGCCTCGAGGAGAACGGAAGAGTGCGGGCCGCGTCGTTCCATCTGACCACTCTCTGGATTCGGGGTGAGGCGAGGCGAAGGCCTTGAACATGTGCTATGTGTCTTGGTCATTTTTTGCGATTTTCTTTGCCAAGGTCGACGGGGTTCGATTCAGGTGAAGGTTACTGGCCGACGGGTGCGGTAAAGGCCTTGTTTTTGATTACTGAGATGTTTCTACTTTTTCAATTTTTCCTATTTACCTATATCCTAGAAATTTACACCTATCTTGGCGTTATATATCATCCATTACTACACTTCTTTCTTCTGCAAATTCACAGACAGATTTCTTTCAAATTTTCGTAACACTTGGCTCGTTCTTTGACCCCGAAAGCCGCTTGTAGTTTGTTTTCGCCTCATTTTCTTGCGGCTTCTCGCCTCCGAGCCCTCTTTATCAGCGACTCATCGTGTGTCCCACGGATTGATTCAGACGTTCGGCGGGAAATTTTTTGCTGATTTTGCGAGATTTTTTCAGTCAACAGACGCTTTTCGGTTTATTTGATAAAGGTCCAATGCCTCTAAAGAGCATTCTTATTAGCCAACACTAACTTTTTTGCAATCATAATAAGTGGTAACAACGCCTTTTGCAATTAGCTTTATTATCAGCCGATGATGTGCACAGCATGCTGCACTTAGATTATTATAATTTTCGAGTAGAGTGTTTAAATCCGCCGACGAATTGATGGAGATTTTCTCGACGCAAGACGGGATGTTTACGGGTTTCAAAGGTCGTCCGAGAAGGTTAAACGGACTTTTCGGGTGCAAAACGGTCTTATGGAGACGTCAACGGGCGTTTGAAAAGCGCCAAAATTTATACGCTATGGTTATAAAAACGAGAGAGAGGGGTTTTTCATTTTTTTGCTCGACCGTCTGACAAGCAGTTTAGTTGCTTTTTAGCGGTGTAAAAGGAAAAAAGTTTTGTACTTTACAAACTTTACTGTTTTAATGACAACTTTTACCAACAATTTTTATAATTTCGAGTTATAAAATTGTATTGACATTGTATTTTACTTTACACATTACATTTTTTACAATTCCATTTCATTGCGGCCTATTTTCGGCCGAGGGGAACAGTTGACCCAGCTGGGTCAAGTCTTTCCCTGTATTTATCATTCGATTGTTTTCTCGAGAATCTCGTGTTTTGGCTCGTTTTCGCTGGTTCTTCAAGTGAAAAACAAGCACGAGTCCAGTTTATTTACCGACTTTCAATTGTTTTCCACCTGAAAACTATACTTTTTGGTGGTTAATTCGATTGTTTTTCGAACAAATTAATCCAACTCAATGCTTTCCAGGTACAATTCCAACTCGTTTCATCATCGGCTTCACGCATTTAGCCACTCTTCTAGACTACAGCGCTTTCAAATTGCTCTTCGATTAGTGTTTTGCGACCTTCTGTTTAACTTAATATCAGCATCTTGATATCCACCTGTGCAAATTTCGAACAAGACGCTTGGCTTCTCGTTCGAAATTCCCCTCAGTTCACAACGAGTCCGGTTTCATGTATTAAACCCGTTCCACCAAAGCGAATCCGTTGAAATGGCCACAAATGAGAAATTGGGTCAGATGAAGTTGGATGCGATCAACGATCGCCTCCAGGGAGGCCGCCTCTACTCCGTCAGCACTCAGTCCTGCTGCACGAACGAGAGCATCAGTGTGTTCGAGCGGACACGAATGCTGTTCCGATTCGCCATGGAGAAACAGGTACGAATTTCGATTTTTATACTTCGTTAATTTGATAATCGAAAAAAAATTTTACAAAAAAATGCTTGTATGGGGTATGGAGTTACAGGTCGAGACATATGTCAAAAAAATCGCAAATTTTAAATTTTTTTTGGTTCAGAATATGTAAAAGTTAGCTGCCTAATTTTGGTTTGTAAAGGTGAAAAAACCCTCAGAACTTTTATCGGAACAAATGCCTTTTTGACCAATTTTTTTACCAAATGAAAAGCTTTGTTTCGGGCTAAAGTAAACCCTGGAAAAAAGTAAAAAGTTAGCTGCCTAATTTTGGTCTGTAAGGGTGAAAAATCCTCAGAACTTTTTTCGCAACACCATGCAAATGCCCCTTTGGAACTACTAATTAAGGTGCAGTAATAATCAAATTTGATATTGTAAGGCTTGTGAAGATACCAGCGTTTACTTCAGCTCAAAACAAAGCTTTTGATCTGGCAAAAATTTGGTCAAAAAGGCATTTGTTGCGAGACAAGTTTTGAGGGTTTTTTCACCCTTACAAACCAAAATTAGGCAGCTCATTTTTTCATATTCTGAATCAGAAAAGTTTCACGATTTTTTTATGTATATCTTAACTTGTAACTCCATACCCCATTGAAGTACTTTCCCAAGGAATTTTTTTTTTAATTTTTGCATAAATCATCATAGCTGACAAGAATTATTAAAAACGGCGCCGTTCCTTTTGTTTAATGCTGAGCTGATTATTCCTGGGAAGAAGTGAAAGTTACAACATCTTTAAGCAGCATTCGAACGCTGTAATCTGATGAACCATTAGGGCCAAGAAAGAGAAAAAAATTTAAAGCGATTTTCAAAGGCTTTTTGGGACTACTGTAAAATTTGGTGTATTTTTCTACTATTATACAAGGAAACAGAGAAATTGCATGTAGTCCAAAAAAATTTGGATTCCGTAGCAAAATAATATCAACGAATGTGCAGAATAGGCGAGATTTTTTGGATTTCCAGCCGTTATATTATCCATGACATCAAGGAAGGTTTAGTATATAAATCGTTAATTTTTTGGGTAAAAGGTGCCTAAAATTGACAACCAGAACATTGTTGGGTTCAAAATGATGCATAGTTTCTCCTATGACAATATTTTTCAGAGAAAAAAAGGTTTACTTTAGTTTTGAGCAATAATATTATTCATGGTCACATCTGAGGTCTAGTGTAACATGATGACTTTTTTGTGTTCCAAATTCTTGTAAATTTGCAGAGCAGCTGTCCACTATTACTACAGTAGACTATCCGTGCGAAAACTCACCATTTTCTACTAAAAATTTCCAATAAAATCCATCTTTGCCCGATTCTATTGCCGTTGTTGAATAATCTCCGGTGTTGTTGCCAAATCCCACATATCAAAGCGGCTTACCAACCGTGTATTCATGTTTTCATCCGCCGAGCCGCGAAAACAACGGGTTCTCCCCAATCTGTTTTATGGCCTATAAATGGGCCCGACCCAAATGTTTTTTGTTTGTTTTATGAAAAAAGTTCCGAAATTTTTTTTTCGAAATTTTTTTGCTGAAAAAATATAAGACACGGGCTGGCACACTCTTGACGGATGTGCTAACGGCGAGAGTTCGCCGCGTTTCGGAATAATAATGGAGGGGATAAAAGTGTGAATGGACTTACAATTACGAGTGGAACTTGTTTCAAATGGGATGAGAGGGCCGAATGGTGGCATGGGATTGTAGCGCAAAATGTAATTGGGTTGTAGCGGGTTGAGTGGTTGAGTACGATGGGGGTTTTTTAGGGTGGGTAAAAAGAAGAACTGTGGGAGTTTTGAAAGGGCAAAAGTTTCGCGAAAAAAGTGTGAAAATGTAAAATTACAATAGTTTTTGACGTCATGACAATATTCAGTGAAATTCATTGAAAAACTATGAGATTTTATAAAGACATCAGCCACGTCATTCCACAAGAAAAAAATGAAAATTTCCTAATTTTGCAGCCGAAATTTGGAAGAAATTAATCAAAATTTTACAGGTTCACTTCAAATAAACAAAAATTAATTTTATTTATCATCAAAAATACCAAAAAAATTCACCATCTAAATCATCAATTTTCAGTCCTTCTATGCCCATTGCTTCAAACTTTTGACCCTGTTCTGCATAGCGGTCGCCCATCTGGTCTACATGCAGCCCTTCCTCGACTCCTACAGCGCCGTGGAGGACTACACGCTCAAGCTGAACGCGCAATATCCGGGCGAGGAGCCAGTCAAAGGCCAGGACATCAAGCATTTCCGCGACCAAATGGACATCCTCGCCGACTACAAGCAGAACACCTGGATGTGTGTGGCGTCAATGTGCATCGCGCTCTCGACCACCTGCTTCTTCCTGTTCATCCTGCCGATCACGACGGTGCGGCCGCGCAATGTGTTCCTGTTGGCGGTGCTGGATTTGAGCATGTTTGCGGCGTTGCCCGTTCTGCTGACGCTCCGAATCTTCATTGTGGAGAAGCTGCATTTGGGGCTGGCGGCGGCGATGCGAGCTGGACATAAGATTATGTCGGCGGAAAGAGTGATGAACATTCTGCAATGCACCATCTTGCCGAGGGAGAGGGTAAGAGTTTTTGGTTTTTTTTTGATGTAAAATGTATCGGTATTCTACTTGTTTTTTTATCAGATCTTTATTTCGTAAAAAACAATTGGAAAAAAGATATATAAAAATCGGAAAGAAATTTTGGTTCACCCTAATAATTTCCCTTATTTTCAGCTTCCCTACTGCTCAGAGATTGTGCTGGGAACCATTTTCCCCATCATTCTCCTCAAATACTTGATCATCCTCGCCCTTCTCACCCTGCTCTACATCGGCCTCGCCTATCTGATTGAGTGGTGCATTCGTCATTGGTTCCCCCACTCCCGTCAACGCAGTCCACTGCCCACTCACTCCTGTTGCATGACGAGATGCAACAAGTACCGTTGTCATGTGGACCCCCGCCCTACGCGCCAGTACCAGGACAAGAGCTACATCCCGGTTCTGTTGCCCTCGGGCGATGTGAAAGTGAAACCCATCACTCCGATGGCCTCGATTTCGATTGTCCCGCTGATTCAACGGGTCGACGAGGAGAATGACTGCCCCAGTTTGGCGGACTCAATCCCCGCCGAGCCGCAGCCCAATTAAGCGCCTGAGGGCCGGAGGTCGCGACCCACGGTCCGAACAACTATATGGGTCGTATTTTACATTTCGTCGAGGTTTTATCTACTGTAATCTGCTGCTGGAACACTGTGTTTTACAAGAGCTACAGCCGGAATGAGTGTAAAATACGCGTCTCAAGGTTCATCAACTTAACTACGGTTGTTTAAGTAGTAATTTATGTTCGTCTCATACTTTAACATTATTTTACCACCCGAGGAGTCTTTCATTGTCATCTGCTTTCAAACACACAAAGATTTTCCCTCTGAACTTTTACTAATGGCCAAGTTTGGGAGGTTTTTGTAATTTTCAGAGCTCTTCATATGTTTTGGTCTTTTTCTCAGGGAATTGTAAAGTTACAAAAAAGTGTAAAATTACAATTATCTGTGAAAATATCTCCAAATTCATAATTAAGCGCCTGAAGTGCAAAAACTATCCCTTAAGGCCATTTCTCGGTTACTTTTCCCCTTATCTCCTCATTGTATTTAATTGTCCCCCCAACGTGTAAACGGTCTCCATAAACCTTCACCAGCTTCACTGCCAGTGGCTTCTGAATCCGCTATCTTGATTTTTAGCCTCTGAAATTTATCTACTGGTCGATTTTTCCAAGAAAAAAATTGAAAAAACCGACTGGTCGATAATTTTTGGAGCCTCAAAAAATCCGGATTTGATTCGAAAACTTCCAGAGCCTCAAAATAGCCGTCTAAAAAGAAATCCGAAGCTTCCTTCTCGACGCAGTAAGTTGGTTCAAACCAATATTCCCGCTTCCTAATTTTGAATATTTCAATTCTTTTCGTTCACAAACTCCAGGCCGGGCCGACTTTCGTCTCACAAATGACGAATTCAAAGCGAATCCCTTTTAGCGTACCGGGCGTCCGAAGTCTTTTTTCGGAGGCTTTCGGATGCCGTACGATTCTTAATTACACTCTATTCTCTCATATAAAACGCGTGGCAATCGTATTTATGACATTGTTTTCTTAGTGATACGGGATTTTGAGGAGAAATGGCGTCATGATGAGCGGTTTTTTGGAAATTGAAAACCCCGAAAAATTGGCCAAATCATCATAATTTTTAAGTACCTTCGATTTTTTGAATAATTTTTAAAATTCGATGGGTCATCATGACGTCACTGCCCTCTCAACGAAATCCATAATTTATAGCCTCAATCCATGTTCAAGACTCCCCTTCTTCCATTTTACAATTCTGGTCATTGCACTCACAACCTTTTTGTACTCTATCTTCAACCTCAACTCTCAACTGTGTTCAACGCCCGGCGTTACAGCGCGCCAGATTCCGAATAATTGCGAAAGTTTCTTCCTCGAAAGTCTTTCACCACCGAAAAATCAGAAAAATATTTTATCGTTCCCCGGGGCCTTAGGCTTTGTAGAGGTTTCGTAGTGTCGATTTTCTTCTTCCGTCTTTCTCTCAACCCTCCCAGCGAACACCGTTCTCTTTCATTTTGTTCACAAAGCAATCAGCATTGTCAGTTGTTCGGAAATTTTGGTAACAATATACCTAGGGGTACTGTAGGGTTTCTTGGCTAAATTTTCATGTCCTAATTTTTGTTACAGTAGTCTTTAGACTACTGTAGCAAAAATTGTGGCGAGTAAATTTTTTCTATAAGGCTACTACAGTACCCTTGAAGTTTTTGCTGACTTTTGGTCTAAAAATTTCTTACAGTAATCTTGACTCTACTGTCGTGTGTTACAGTAACACGAAGGCTACTGTAGGCCGTCTAATTGTCATCATTTTTAGTTTAGGCTCTCTGCAGTAACCACAAGTTACAACATAGTTCCTACAGTAATCTTGGATCCTTGTAGCCAGTCTACAGTGCTCCAAGGTCGCTGTAATCAATCCGTAGTATCTATGGGATTCTACCCCAATTTTAGATCACTAAACCACAATTTTTATCAATCTTTCTGTACCGCCTCCCACCGTTGAACCCCTCCAGAGTTACTGTATATACATAACATTCATTTCCTCCCACTCTTTCACACATCCAGTCTTACAAACCATAGCTGTGTCAATTGTGAACCCCACGTAGAAAGTAGGTCTGAAATTGTACCCCCGTCTCGTACAATGTTCACAACAACTTCCCCCACGTTATATATACGGTTATTAACAGTTTCCTAACTTCTCATTGTTACTTGATGTAGATCCAAATCGAATATCCCCCCGAAATGTTCTCTCCCTGGTTCCATATGTGTAATTTTTTCTTCTCTATTCATTTGGTTTTGTCGTATTTCGTATTGTTTTTATTGTATTGGTAGTTTGAGTACAAGAGCGTACAAAAAATAAAATTAATAATAAAATTCGGAGGTGTTTGTGATGAAAATTCTGCGAATGACTAAGGTTTGAGTAAGTTTTGCCATCTTGAGAAAGCATTGGGAGAGACGTGTGACAAGTATAAGAATGCGACTGACCTCAGGGTTTCCCTAAATTTTGTAAATTCTTTGGGCGCATGTTACATACCGCCTCCTGCATCTTTTTTCTCGGTCTTTGCGGCGGGCCACACTTTCGGCCCACCACTATGCGGGCAGCTAAAAAAACACGGAAGTTTTGCGGGCGTGTTCAGAAATCAGCAAACATTTGCTCACAACAGGAAACTAAAACGATGAAGTATGCAGTTAGATTTTGCGATTTAAGTTTCACGGTGCATACATGGCTTGAGCAATTACCATAAAGTTAACCAGCCATTTTTAGAGGTTGAGAAGCCATTTTTTGATACGAACTACCATGACTTTGTAAGCGGTTTATGAATTCAATAGATTCGTGTACTTAATTGTGGCAAGGAGTTGTCGGTACAAAATGTCTCTCATACTACGTAGTTTGCGGTAGAAAAATCGTAGTTCTGATCGGTAAATTTCGGCTGGCCGCAAAGTGAGCCCGCAAGGGTCGCGACTCGGTCTTTGCAGCTAAAATGTTTGAAATACATTTATTTTTTGTACAATCTTGTACTCAAACTACCAACAGAATAAAAACAATGTAAAATACGAGAAAACTAGATGAAAAGAAAAGAAAATATGGATCTAGGTAGAGAACATTTCGGGGGGATATTCGATTTGGATCTACATCAAGTAACAATTAGGAAATGTTAATAACCGGATATCTTTATATAATGTGGAGGAGAGTTGTGAACATTGTGCGAGACGGAGTACAATTTCAGACCTACTTTCTACACGTGGGGTTCACAATCGACGCAGCTATGGTTTGTAAGACTGGATGTGTGAATTGGGAAGCGGGAATATTGGTTGGAACCAACTTACTGCGTCGGAAGGAAGCTTCGGATTTCTTTTTAGACGGCTCGAATCAAATCCGAATTTTTTCAGGCTCCAAAAATTATCGACCAGTCGGGTTTTCCAATTTTTTTCTTGGAAAAATCGACCCTCCGAGAGACTTGATGGGTTCCGGAATAGTTGAACTGGCGGCTGTTGCTTGGTCCTCTTGCTGGTCTGGGACCCACTGATCTATCGAAGCGTCGCAAGAATAACAACGCACATACAAATGATGAATTGTCTGTAAGCAAAAAATCATATAATGACGGAATCGTGGATCAAAGAGACAATGCCATTTCGTTAATGATAAACTTTGAATATAACACAAATAAAGTACCCGGGCAACATATCTCCTAAAAAATCGCTTTGAAATAACAAGCCCTTTAACGTTAAACACCCCTCTTCAAAGAAACTGTTCGGCATTTTCATAAAGAAGACATTTTGCAAGTAATCCATTAGCAGTATGTGTCGCCGGTTCGTGGGTGTATAAAAAGCAAGAAAATGATGGGCAAAATTATCGACCGTTCCGTGGACAGACTCCAGGATGACCCGTCTTCTGCCTGCCCTGATTCTCGGTATACTGCTGCATGCGGTGACGCCGAAGAAGTACGGTGTTCCGCTGCAAAGAAGGCACAATCTTCTGACGAAGGAAGACAACCGTATGCAATGCTTCTACTTTTTTATGCTTTACTATTTCAGTCTCCGACTTTCGTAAATACATCCTAAGCAGATACGGTAACAAGCCGCACACACAGCCCTTCTACGCCGTCGGACACACGAGCTACCTCGGTAAGCAAAAATCTTTCGAATTGACGTTCCACTATAGCTAACATAACGATCGGTACCCCGCCTCAAGAGTTCCGCGTTATTCTGGATACCGGCTCCTCGGACACCTGGGTGCCAGCCCAGGACTGCGAAGTCGAAGCAGGAGGACCAACTTGCGAGAAAATACTGTTCAACCCCGACGCGTCCAGCACCTTTCAGAACAATGGCTCAGAGTGGGCGATAGAATATGGATCAGGTTCTGTCTTAGGGACCCTTGGAAAGGACACTGTTGGCCTTGGCAGCGCGTCGGACGATAAGCTTGTCGTTCCTGGACAGACCATCGGGCTTGCGCACCAGATCGACGAAACGTTGGACTCTTTCACGGAGATTGATGGAATCGTTGGCCTCGCGTTCCGAGCAATCTCCAACGAAGGTGGCCAACCGGTTTTCCTGAATGCCGTGGATCAAGGGCTAGTGGACGAGCCGGTTTTCACCGTCTGGCTGACCAGAGACAAGACCGAAAAAAATGTGAGTGAGACTTACGTACATGGCCGTAGTAAGTCACTTGTTTCGACAGATTAAACCAGATCTGAGGTAGTAGCGCTTCGCTGAATACAAAAATGTCCAAAATTGGCCCGATGACTCAGTTGCCTCAAAACAAAAAAAACGTTTTCACTGATGGTATTCAAAAGTTGCTCAAATAGTGGGAAAATATCGTAGTTAGCAGTGGTGATAATAATTAAATAAGCTTTAATGTAAATTTTTTTGTTTTGATGAAAATTCGACCTTTCCAGGGTGGCGCAGACGGGCTCATCACCTACGGCGGCCACGACGATGAGCATTGCAGCAGCGAGATTCATTGGATCCCATTAGCAGACAAGACTTATTGGATCTTCGAGGGGCAAGGGTTTTCGGCGAACGGCCAAGAAACCCAGCTCACCTACAAAGCCATCACCGACACTGGAACTGAGTTTATTGTTGGCAGTCCAGATATTATCCTTCCAATTGTCAAAACTTTGAATGCGACATACGACGAGAAGCGTGAAGTATACCACCTTCCATGCAATTCCAATTTCACCGTCGGATTCTCCATAAATGGCAAGGACTACAATGTTGAGGCGAAAAATCTGTTGGTGCCCAGCCCTGGAGACACTTGCATCCTGACTCTGGTTCCCCAAGACATCGGTGAAATTCAACTGATCCTTGGAGATCCATTCATCCGCGAGTACTGCCAGGTCCACGACGTCGACAAAGGGCGGGTCGGATTCGCTTTGGCTAAGGTGTAATTGTAAAATGCTGCTCGAACATGGCTTGATATACGCTTTTTAATAAGAAAATAAACGCATTGCCCTGAAAGGTTTTTTTTAAAATGTAAGGTAATTTTCCTGCAAGTCAAATATCGATAATGTGCAATAAGTCAAAAAGCAAATTGCGCACAACACCCCTTGTAATCAGGGGACGAAGAGTGGGTATCGTTGACTAGCTGTTATTGTACAGTGGGGGACCTGATCCTCTCCATGTGAAAAAAAATTTGAAGGGCGCGCCCTTTCCCTCACAAAAAAGCGGGCGCGCTTTTGAAATCGGAGTTCTTTGACTTGGAGAGAGAGAGAGATATTTTGCTACATTTTTGATCTTCCTGGATGCAAAATAGTACGTTTCTTTCCACTGGATCAGGTCCCCCACTTAGCAGCACTTACCGCTGTATTCGACTCCGCGGTTGGTTTCCAAAAAATGTCTTGGCCGGGGTCCGTATTCACTGTAATATTGGGGTTCGGCCGCACCACAGTCCTTGCTAGTTTAGTGCCGACTTCAGATGTATGATCAGTGACGTCCTTTTTATGAGCGAAAGGACGCTCCCTTCAAAACGGAGTTTTTTCACTTGGAGAGGGAGGTATTTTGCTATATTTTTCGACACTTCCCGGATGCAAAAGAGCACAAGGAGTGACGGTCAGAGAGAAGCCTCAAAACTCTGCGCTTTTAGAAAACTCTTATGTATGCCTTGACAATTGGAGTGTCTGTTTTAATGTAGGGGAACAGCACCACCTCGAAGACGCACTCCGTTGATGTGCCAGCGCTTGAGAATCCACAGCTATGGCTCTTGCGATGCCATAGGAGAAACAATCCCACTCGTTTTTACATTATTTATTTTATTTTTCAAATTCATGGAATCAAAAAAAAATGCAACATCAAAAAAGCTGTAAATTTACATCAAAAAATTCGGAAAGAAAGATTTGGCAAGTTTTCTCCAATTTTACAATAGAATTTTGTGCTTATTACTGGGGGAGCAGACGAATAATCGGGTATGATAATATAATATTAGATAATTATTTGAAAGACTAATTGGACTATGGAAATGTGCGCTGAAGTAAAAATATTCGTGGATGATGAGGTGTTTGGGGGCAGTTGAGCAATACTCGGTTATTGTGGTCAAACTGTTTGCATCGAGGATGGAACAAAACGGGTTTTTGTTGTGTTTAGACAATTCTGAAATAAAAAAAATTAAATTTTTAGTAAAAAACAGTATGTCCGACGGAGTTGAACGATTGGGGAAACCGAAAAGTATTATTTTTCTCCGATGCAAATCTCGAAATTAGGATAATCGATGGTGCTGATTGCGAAAATGACATTCGTTTTTTTGACTGTTACTTTTTTCCTTAAGTAGTACTGTAAAGTAGTACTTTTTGAAAATTTTTTCATAAATACTCGATTTAGGGGTTTTCGATGGTGCTGATTTCGAAAATCATGTTAACTTTTCCTCTAGTACTATATGGTACTATCTGATACTATGCAGTACAAAGTGAAAAAATGGCTTTTGAATGGTGTTGCTTGGATGCTTAGTACTGTTCAAAAACACGTTTTAAAAAATTGGTGCTATTTAGTACTATCTGATACTATATAGTACGAGGTGAAAATAGCGGTATTAGGCGTCAGGACAACACCACTAAAGGCCAAATGCCAAATTTTCACTTCGTACTACATAGTATCATATAGTACTATTTAGTACGATAGGAAAAGTTAACATGGTTTTCGAAATAAGCACCATCAAAAACCTATAAATCGAGTATTCATGGAAAAAAATTAAAAAAAAAATTTTATTTTACAGTACTACCAAACTTTCCAATCGTCCAATTCCTTTGCCCGATTAGCGAAACAACTTACGAAGTGTCCACATCGTCGCTCAAGATGAGCTTGAACAAGTCGGTCTGCGAATCATGATGCATGAACTTCTCCAGCTCCTCTCCTTGACTGATCTGCTGCTGATGCTGCAGCTTCTTCCCATTTCTCTGCACATTCTTGTTCTCCACATTCTCCCCATCGCTCGACGAGCTCTCCGTATCCGGCGGAGGCCCGTGCGGCAGCGGCGGAGGCTTCTCCGACGGATTCGGGCTGATATTCTGCTCCTCTTCGCGGATATCCTCGTTCACATTCAGCGAAATTGTGCGGTTCTCGTCCCTCAACGTCCCATTATGACTTTGCGTGGAGCTGTTGCGACTGTGGATGTGGTGATGCGAGAGTTCGGACATTTCGTCGATTCGGACTCGGGAAATGTTCGAGTTGAGGAGCTCGTCGTTGGAGTGGTGGATGTTGTGGTTGTCGTGCGAGGAGGAGGAGGATATGCCCGAAGTAGAGGAGCCAAACGAATCGCTGGACTCGGTGGTCGACTGGCTGAAGCGCCGATTGCCGAGCGAGGTTTTCTGGAAAGAATTTGGGTTAGAAATGACAAACTAGAGAGCAAGGACCTAGCTCGCGGTTTATAGACCACAAAATTTTTGAATTTTTCAACTAACAAAAGGAAAATAGGACTTCATACTAACAAGGGAAGTACCCCAAGTGCGACGCTCAGATTTTGATGAAATTTGGCATAAATTTAGAAAAATTTTTTCTGAAATATATGCGAGAATCCTAGCTCGCGCTTTGCAAAAACAACCGAGATTTTTAGATCGAAAGTCGGCGAAAATTTGACACTTTTTGCCGAATTTTGGCATGAAAAGTTTCATGTCAATTTCTACCATAGGTGGTAATATTTCCACAAAAAATGAATTTTTTCCGCACAAAGCTAGCAAAGTTATGGCCAAAAAATGTTTCTTTTCTCTGACCGCTCTCCACTTTTAGTGTGCTCTCTCGGCGGTAAAGATCGTTCAATATCTCGGTGGCGCTTGCAAAGCGCGAGCTAAAACTTTCAGAAATTGATATTTAGTTCATGACCGACGTGTGTGCAAAATTTAAAGAAAATCTGAGCGTCGCACTTGGGGTACTTCCTTGTATATTTTGGTTGATTTTTTGCTGGAAATTTGGGTTTTTTTTTTGATTTTTTTTCTTTTGTTGTTTGTTTTTACTGTTTTTACAATTCGTTTTTTTTATATTTACATAAGAATTAATTTCCAGCACTCGTATTTTACAAAAAAAAATCTTTTTTTTTGTGATTTCCCCTTCATTTTGAGCCCTTCAAGCCCCATGATCAATGTCATTTCGGAAAAATTTCTTCGAAATCCCGTCGATAAATCTCTCCCCTCTCTCTCTCGAATTCAAATTTATGAATCGGGCGTTTGCCCGACCTTGACATTCTTTCCTTCTTTTGCTCTCATTAAACCGGTTAAACGACCTCAAAACTCATCGGCGAAAACATCAAAGGGAAGAGTGGGATTTGATGAGGAATTCCACGAATCGTAATCGCAGATGTTAATTACGCTCTCTGGGAATCTTCGGAATGCAAATTGAATTAAAATTGGGACTGAACATGTATGGATTTTTACAAAAATCGCCTTTATTTCGGTAGAAAGGCCAAAAAATTTTATGGTTGGAAGTTTCCAAAGTTTGATTTTTTTTTTGATTTTCCATGGCGTCTTATTGTTAATTAGCCCATTTTTGCACATTTTAGAATCGTGGGATAGATGGGATTTGGGATTTGAAGGCTTATTTTAGCCTCAAGAAAGTCATCTCTCAAAAAAAAAATTTTTTTGATCCCGGAATTTCAAAAAAAAAAAAAAAAATTTTATGATCCCGGAGTATAAAAAAATATTTTTTTGATCCTGGAATTTGAAAAGAAATGTTTTGTTGACCCGGAATTTCAAAAAAAAAAAAAAAAAAAAAAAAAAAATTTTGATCCCGGAATTTCAAAAAAAAAATTTTTTTTAATTCCCAGTCCCCCTAAATCCTTTTTTCACCAACAATTTTATCCCTACATTCACCAATCCACCCCCAAACCACTTACATTTACAGTGTCATTCAATTTGTTGCTGATTTTCCTCTGACTTCCCACATTCCACGAGAACCTTTTCACAATGTTCTGCCCAATGACTCCCGCATTAAACGCCGTGCTCTTGGCCGCATCACACTCTCCGCTCACCGTGTGATATCTCTTCTCAAACCGACGGCCGGTATTTCGGCCCGAAGTTGGCGAGTCCCCGCTCGGTGTAACCGGGGTGTTGCATCGAGAAGACTCGCCGGTCGATGTTGTTGAATTCATCATCAATGGAGGGACGGCGACGAGTGCGGAGGCGCAAGAGTCCGGGGAGATTTGGAGCCCGGGATCGTCGTCGACCAGGATCTTTTGCGGCTTTGGATGGGGAATTGGAGGGTGTTGGTCGAAGCCGCGGCGGTCGAGCTGCTCGGCGGATGCGATCTCGGACTCTTTTCGGAGACCATCTGAAAGCATAGATTGTTATAATTAAGACCAAGAAATCAAAAATTTTTCACTGTAAAAAAATTTACGACAGAAACAAAAATTTTTCGAATTTGGAATATTCAAGTTTTAAAAAGTCTAAAAAACATGTCATAATGACTAAAATTTCCCTATTTTTTTATATTTTTACATCTACTAATCCCTAAAAGTTCATAAATCAAATCCGGAAGCGGATATTTTCCTTTGAAAATTTCAAAAAAAACTAAAAACTTTCGAATACCTCTAATTTTGGGTTTTTTAAAATTTAAAAAAAATGATGACAAATCACATAATTATCAACTGCCATAAAAAACACAATAGAACCACTAAACGTACTCTGCTGTTGTGCCAGAGCTTGAGAGTCCATACTATGGCTCTTTCGATGATACAAGGCCATGCTTTCGGGAGAGAAGTCACTGTTACGGGGGAATGTGTTCGACGTCACCGACATTGAATGGGAATCTACAAACAACAGTGAAATTAACTTGGGATTCGGAAGGGAATATAGTGGATAACGAACAAAATAAAAGGGCTGAAAACATTTTTTAAAACTTTTGCCGAAAAATCCTAAAATTTTAAAAAAATCATGTCTTGATGCTTAAGATTTATCTCTAAATTCATAATTTTTGAGCTCTAAAAAATCAAGAAACCCCCAAAAAATCCCGTCTTCCTCAACCTACAAGGCGCATAAACCATGGCATTCTTCAGCTTCAAGAACTCTCCCTGCGCGAAATCGAAAAAGTCGATCCATTTCTTGGCATCCTCTTCGGTCTGCGTGAAGAACGTCAAGAAGTTGATGCAGACATTGAAATTGTCATAACTCATCAAATAAAACCCATTGCTGCTGTCCATGAACACCCGATAGCGCATGCTGGTGATGTGAATGGGCGGCCGCACCACCCGCAGTTTGTCGCGCCGCCCGAACTTGCAGATGAGGAACATGTCGGTGAAGAGGAAGACGTGCACCTCGATCTTGGGCGCCGACTTGGACTCCTTGAATTTGAGGTCGCCCCGGCGGATGAGATGGCGATGCATGGGGTGGGGGATCATTGGCATCGGCAACAGGAGGTCTATCATTGGCTGCTTGGTGTCTGTGGCCTGGAAATTTTTGATTATTTTTTTGATCGTAGCTTATTTATAGGTCATTAGACGCCATAAAAAAGGCATAGCAAAAAATTCTTGGGGTCCCTAAATAAGGTGGAAGTGATCCAGTGGCAAAAATCATACGATTTTGCATCCGGGAAGCATCAAAAATGCTGCAAAATACCTCCCTCTCCAAGTGAAAAACACTTTGTTTTGAAGGGCTTCCCTCACAAAAAGGAACGGTGCGTTTTTGATATCGGAGTTTTTGCACTTGGAGAGGGAGGCATTTTGCCACATTTTTTTGACACTTCCACGTCTAGGTTTATTTGCAGTGGGGGACCTGATCCAGTGACAAAAAGCGTACCATTTTGCACCCGGGAAGTATCAAAAATGTGGCTAAGTGCTTCACTCTCCAAGTGAAAAAATTCCGACTTCAAAAACGCGCCCGCTCTTTTTGTGAGGAAAATTTTTTCACTTGGAAGATTTTGCCACATTTTTGATGCTTCCCGGATGCAAAATGGTACGTTTTTTGCCACTGGATTGGGTCCGTCACTATATGAATTTTACATATAAAAGCCACAGAAATCGACTCACCTTTTCATACTCATCAAAGTCCATATAATCACAGCTCTCAAACAGACTCATAATATAACGGAATTGCGCTCTCAAATCATTCAGATTCAGCGATCTATTCAACTCATGATTGGCCTCATCCGTCTGCGCTTTCATCCGCTGAATGCACCGTAAATCCGCTTCATTTAGAGCTGTCTTTTCCAGGGTCTGCAGCAACAACGAGTATCTGGTCAAGTGTTGAAACGGGAAGGCCATTACGTCCAAGAGTTTCTGCCGATTAAAGAACGGCATGCTCTCGGTCCATTTGACGAAATCCGCAAACTGCTCGTCTTGCTTGATTTTGTGCGTAATGTAGTTGCGGGAATGGTTTTGCTCCACCTGAAAGTCGACGTAGCAACGCGACCATTGACGGATGTCGGCGAAGGCTTGCTGAAGACAGGTCGCGTCCAAAAGGTCGCCAGTTGTCCTGAAAGATGGGGTGTTGAAATGGGTAAAGATGAGTAGAATTTTTTGTTGGTTGTAGCAAAAATAATTCAGTTCATTTTCAACCATTTTTTAAGGATCAATTTTTCGTTAATTTTTCGGGTTCAACAATGACCAAAAACGAAAATTTCTCAACCAGCCACCAGTCAATTTTTATAAAATTTTGTGTACAAACTACATATAGGCCATATATTAATCATAGAAAATCTTAGCTCACATTTTTCAAGGACCGCTGAGATATTCCAGAATATTTTTACGAGAAATTTTTAAAAATAAGGACAGCCCGCCGGACAAAAAAATCGTGCTAACACTTCCGCAAATGCTTTGGAAAATACCTTTTTAAAGTGAGAGAGCTGATCCAGCGGCAAAAAAATACCATTTTGCGTCCGGGAAGCATCAAAAATGTGGCAAAATGCCTCCCTTTTCAAGAGAAAACTCTTTTTTTTGAAGGTCTCCCCACACAAAAAGAGAAGGCGCTTTTGAAATCAAAGTTTTTTCGCTTGGAGAGGGAAGCATTTTGCCACATTTTTTGATACTTCCTGGATGCAAAATGGCACATTTTTTGCCACTGGATCAGGTTCCGCACTCTAATATCCAATCAAAATCTATGCTTTTTGCTTTTCCCTTTTACAATTTTCCCAAAACTGTAATCCAAATTTAACTGCTAAATTTAGCATGCCTAAATATTTTACCGCAGGTTGGTCACATGTAAGCTAAATGTGTGCGCGTTTTCGTGACAGGATCTCCTGTTCTGTGAGCACGCCACAAATCCCACAGAATCTGCCCAAAAATGTCGTCGCCTTTTGACATTCGTAAACAATTGGAATGGCATGAGGAAACGGGGGGTGTCAGTTTCAAACTTGCGACAATCCGGGAGAGTTTGTAAACATCATGGGGGTCAGTTCTAATGGAAAAAGCGCCTACGGCGATGAGCTTTCAACACTAGGAGTTGGAGGAAAGCTTGTGAAAAAATGGAAGTTTTAGCCGTCCTTACCTCGACTGCTGCAACATTGGCAAGATCCCCTGCCTCCAGAAGTTCAACGTTGTCTGATAAATCTCGGAGAAATTTAGGAAAACGTCCTTGGAATTGATGTCCGTCAAATAATTCTCCTTCTGAATCTCCAACAACGTTGTGTGCAGATCGCAGATGTTTTTGAGCGTAACAATATAACTGTGCTCGGTGGTTACGATCTCCCAGATGGCGGCTTGATGCTTCTGGACCTTGTATTCGGTGATAAGTTCGGGTTTGACTAGATCGGTGAACTTTTCGGTGATGTCCAAGTACGAGGGGATGGGGACTTCGGAAATCGCGCTGTAGATCGCGTCCAGTTGCGCGATGAATCGTTCTTTCTCTTTTTCCTGAAAGCTCAAGTCTCAGGGATTAATATGAGCCCTAGATTTTATAAACCGAACGGTTCTTTCAACACTTATGACCAATTATATTCACCATGCCGGATCCCACCTACCTTTCCGAATAAGATCATTCTACGACTGGAACTCGGTGCCCTCAAGCGTCTTGTGCCGTTCAGACTGCCGCTCATACTCGACTGACTTGGGAATCGACAGACATCACGGCCTTCTTGGGAGTGCTCACGAGCTGAGTCCACATTTAGTGAACCTTTCCGGCGAGGCACTGTGGAATGATGCTGAGCTTCGTAGAAGCTCATAGGATTCAGATGTTGACGGGAGGAGGAGGCCTGCAAATAAATAGAAATCGTATTTTAGAAATTTTTAAATGATTTTAAAATATAAAAATTGTGTCTTGCAGAAAATCCAAAAAAAAATTCGAAAAAAAAAATTGATTGCAACTGGACAAAATTGATGTTTTTTTGATAAAAAAGTAATTTCAGACAAAAAACAGAGATATAGAATACACAATTGGCACAAATCATGCAATTATACCTCTAAAATTCCCCAAATTCAACAAAAATTATATTACACTAGATAAAAAAATGCCCTAATTTGGATCCAAAAATCGCTTTAAGGCAAAAATTGGATATCTATATGAAGATTACAAAATTTTAAGTAGTTTAAAAGATAAAAACACATTGATATTTTGGCAAAATCCAATCAAAACCTCGTGAAAAACGGCCTATTTATAAGTAGAAGAAGTAAAGATTAGGTGTTTCAAAAAGACTTCGAAAAGACAAATGATGACATGTTTTGTTCAATAATCTATAATACAAAACGAATTGATAATAGCCTCCGAATGGGACGGTAATCTCAATAATCAACAATCGCCTGATCCGATTACGGTAATTCTTTGAATTTTCAAAGGTTCTCAAAAATTAAAAAAAAACTTTTTTTGGCCAAATGTAAGGAACAGGCCCATGCGGTGGGCCAAGCCTATTCAAGGACTCAAATATGTACGTTACAGAGCCAAACAAGCGGCTCCGGGTTTGTTTGCTCTAACCGAGCGCCTCAAATCTCTCCCCCCTTTTTGCGCCCCTAATCCCCACGATTCGGCTACAATACGGCGAAGAATTTTTTGTGGACGAATTGTGGGATTAGCAGGTGGTCATTGTTTGCGAATTGCAGATCGAAATTGGAACGTGGGAGAGGAGGGGATCGAACAATTTTTGAAGGTTCGAAAAGCGATTTTTGAAGTTTGAAGACAAGACTCGAGAAAAATTTTGTGGAGTAAAGAGTTCAAAAGCCAAAAAAATCGCATTGCGCAGAAAAATAGTCTTAAATTTACTGAAAAAAATTATTTCGATTGTACAGAGCAATATATTTTTTCAGTCAACATTTTTTTGTTTATTGCACAGTGCAAAAAAAAATTTATTTATTGCACTGTGCGGTTAGGAATTTAGTTTCGCTTGCATTGTGCAAGAGAATTTTTTCTGCACCGTGCGTATTTTTTTCCTTTTAGAACTGCATTGCACTTTGCGAAGAAACGAATGATTTTTTTTTATCGCACAGTGCAAAAAAAATTTTTTTTTTGTTTTGATGCGTAACGGATTCCTGTCTGCGCATTCAAAACCCAATATTATGATTGCTCCGTGCAGAATCAAAAAAAAATCGCACCGTGCAAAATCAAAAAAAAACTTTGTACCGTGCAGAATCAAAAAAAAATTTTTCGCACTGTGCAGAAGCAAAAAAATTTTTCGCACTGTGCAGAATCAAAAAAAAATTTTCGCACTGTGCAGAATCAAAAAAATTTTTTTCGCACTGTGCGGCATAAAAAAAAATTTCGCACTGTGCAGAAGCAAAAAAAAAATTCGCACCGTGCAGAATCTAAAAAAAATTTAGCACTGTGCAGAATCAAAAAAATTTTTTCGCACTGTGCAGAATCAAAAAAAAATTTTTCGCCCTGTGCAGCATTAAAAAAGATTTTCGCACTGTGCAAAATCAAAAAAAAATTTCGCACTGTGCAGAATCAAAAAATTTTTTTCGCACTGTGCAGAATCAAAAAAAAATTTCGCACTGTGCAGAATCAAAAAAAAATTCGCACTATGCAGAATCAAAAAAATCGCACTGTGCAGAATCAAAAAATATCGCACTGTGCAAAGAACACCAAAATTTCCAAGCTCAAATTACCTTTTCATGATAGGGTATTAAGTGCGCTGTGTCATGTTCATCCAACGATCTCACATCGGCCTCATCCACCGAATGGCTGGCCAAATTGTTGATGCTTCTCAGCGACACATTCGCAGTCAACGTCAAGTTGGATGCAGCGAGAAATTGTCCCTGAATGGAGGACCTATGCATTTGTTTGGGGCGGATGTTCAGCCGCTGACCGACCAGGTATTCGGCCGGGCTGATGGCGGGGATGGGAGTGGAGGAGTTCTCAACGAAGACGTCCACGTGGCTCGGACCGACGCCGTTCTGGGTGAGGAAGGGGGTCAGGGTGTCGATGAGGGTCCGGCCCGCAATTACTTCGATCTGGAAATAAAGGGGAATTTTTGTGGAGGCTAGGAAGGTACATTGGAAAATCAAATCGAAAAAATTGTCCAAAAACGGGTTTTTTGGACAATTTTTTGCAGTTTTTGAAAATTTTTTCTTAAAAATCTAAAATTTTTTAAATCATTGCTCTTCTTAATGTAAGTAAGAAAGACTGGACCGTATTTTACATAGTTATAAATTCGATTATTTCGCTTAAAAATTAAATTTTTTGTGAGAAACCAGAACTCAGCCTAGTACAATATAAAAATCAAAATTTTTAGCGAAAACTTTAAATCATTTCTATCGCGAGTCGTATTTTACATTTCATGTTCCTCAATATGAAATTTGCAAGGCTTAAATCTTCTTCAAAGTCATCAAATTCTATCCAAAACTTAATTTTGAAGCAAAATCATCATATTTCCTTAGTAATCAAAAATGCCAAAAGCTATCAAAAATCATTTTTAAAACCCTCCTAAGTCTCTAAATCATCAAATTATTTCCCCAAAACCCCCCTCAATTCTTTAATTGCCCCCAAACTTTAATGTAAACCGCTCATTTCGCCGGCTCGACATAACCAACAACACACACTGCAAAACCGGGTGCCCTTCAAGTTGGGAGCCCGCCCCGCGCATTCCTTTCCCACGAAAATCTCGGCGAAAATTCGAAAAAGTGAAATCCAAAAAGAAAAAAAAATCCCGCGGAATTTGCATCTCACAGGCCACGCCCACTTTTCTTCGGTGAAGAAATGGAGCCGCGGCTCTTTACATAACCGGAGGGGCAAAACTTTCCATTTCGTGTTTCGAATGCAATGTCATTAATAAAAAGGGGGAGAGATTTGAGGTCAGCGAAAAAATGAGTAATTAATTTTGTAATAGAGTTGAAGAAGCCAACAGAAACGTCCTTTTTCTGCCCAACGGATGAAAAGAATACGAAAATAAGGGGTAAAAATACGCACTATGCATGTGCATATGAGTTGATCAGCATCCCAAACAAAAAAATTCTGGATGACTTTATTTTTTCTTTGAGGGAAAAAGAGCATGTTCCAAAGATACTATAATAGTCAAAAAAAGTCTACGCACTTTCTGAAACGACTAGTAGTAGACGAGATTGAACATTTCTTTTTACACAAAAGCTTGTAAGACAAGGAGAGGGGCCAAAATGTTTATTGTCAACTAGTTTTGGGGTTTGTTTGGAAAAAGTTTATTTCTACTTGGAACACTTGCACATGACCAAAATTCTTATATCGAAAAAAAATATCCTGCCACCATAAACTGGATGACCAGGGGAGAAGGGGAATTGACGTGGGACCGACCGTTCAGAGAGGACAACATCAAGGAGAGATGCATTTATTCGCACAACAGCAGGAAAAAAGTGATTGGAAATGACGAGATCCGTGACTTTTATACAGAGAAGAATCAAGTTTATGCAAATTTTGGCTCCAACGCCAACACTAATGATAGTTCACACATTCTACAACTGTAAAATAAACTTCAACAGACTCAAGACAGACGTTTCCCATATAAATTCGAAATCGTTAAAGCTGTCTTCAAAAGTCCTAAGCGTTCAAAATTTTCCGTGCCGTTCACGAAAACAACCCTTCATTTTCGTCAGCCATTACCAATTTACCATCCTCCCTTTCACAAGGAAGATAGTAAAACCAGTAATTATCAAGGGCAATGCCCGTCTCTAAAGTCCAAATGGGGACAAATAAACAACTGTAACGCGTTTGAGCGAGTGTCAAAGAAGCCACGTGTTTTATAGGAAAAACACGTAATGAGGAGTATAAGAGATCAGGAAGGTCAAAAGATTGGTAAACACAAGGTAAACGGAGATTTCATTGGCCGAGAAAAAGGCCGTATTCAACGAAAACATGTATCAGAAATTTTCTTAAGGAGATTTTTTAGCTCAAAATTTCCACCGAAATCACTATGCTTTCAAGATGAAAGGCTCAGAAATATCGTCTTTTGGGAGAGAAACTTGAGATATTCACTATTTTACTTCATCAAATTGGGGTAAAACTAGAAGATTTTAGGCCAAATCTCTGCTTTCTTGCTTTGTTTTCAACAAATTTTTGGTTAAATAAAGCCAAAAAATTTGATTCTTATAAGGATTCCGACCAAAAAAAAAACATAATATGAACCCAAACTTATTCAAAAAAAAAGCCATGACTAATGGAAAAATGGTTTATTAATGCGATATTTTAGCCGAAAACTTATAAGGGTCGCTGTAAGCGCAAGCTAAAATTTAGACATTTTTTATACAAAGCTCTGCCATAAATTTGTTTCAAGGTTTGTAAACTTTACTGCCTTGATATGTAGACTATGATTTTCCCTTCAAAACAGCCAGAATATTGCTTCCAGACTCCCTCTCAACAAACCCCCCTTTTCCTTAATAATCTCCCTTTACAAAGCGCCAAAAAACAAGTAAAGGAAGAGCAAACAAACACACAACTATTTATAATAAACATGTTTGATAGGTGTTACAAGATGGAGCGTACTCGCGTTCCAGCGCGAACACCGCATGTTTTTCCGGGAAGCTTCGGAATCTTCAAAATTTAATATTCAGCGGTTTTCGAGGAACATTAATGTTTGTTGTTTATCATGGGTCTTTAGATGGACTCATGCTTAATTGGCCAAATGGGAAAAGTTCATGGGAAGACTTGTGAGAAGGATCAAAGATTTAGGCGAGATTTATGGATGCTCGAAATGAAGGACAACAAATTTTGGGACGTAAGGTTTCAAAAATCTTTGGGGCAGTCATTATGGGCAAAAACGGGGGATATACCAAAGTGCGGTATTTTGATTTCACCAAAATTTGGCACTTGTATTTTAGATAGGGCACATGTTATTTTCCGAACGCTTTAGCTGTCCTATTGAAAGCACAACTGAGGTATTCCACGATACATTTTCCGAGTGAATAAAAATGACAAAAGTCAGTCCGCCGACTTGCCGTTGCAGCGCGGGCTATGCCGACAACGACGGTTCAGTGAGTCCGATTTGGCAAGCCTTTTCTCTTTGAATCCAGATATCTACAGTAGGGAGACCTGATCCAGTGGCAAAAAACGAACCATTTTGCATCCGGGAAGTATCAAAAATGTGGCAGAATGCCTCCCTTCCCAACTAAAAAACTCCGTTTTGATGGGCTTCCCTCACAAAAAGAGCCAATTCAAAAAAGATCTTTTGAAATGGGAGTTTTTTTATTTGGAGAGGGAGGCATTTGGCCACATTTTTGATACTTCCTGGATGCAAAATGGTACCTTTTTTCCACTGGATCAGGTGCCCCACTGTAGAGAGTAACACCCGAATTATGAGGTACAAAAAATGAGGCAGGTCACTTGGGCAATAACCCTTTTTTTGACAATAACCATTCAAAGTCAGCTGAGGAGTCATTTGTTTTTTGTAGCGACAATTTGTAGCCTACTCCAACTACATTCTGAAATTTTAGCATAAAATGTCTAGAAACCTGGAGTGTTTGTCCAAAACGCAAGCCAATACTCTATATTGTAATACTCTACAGGGTGCGGCAAAAAAATGGAAACTTTTTTCATTGGGTCCTGACGCGAAAATTTTTGGGTGCAGCAAAATTATTTTCATACTATCAGTCTGTCGGGAAAATAACGGCGGATTGTCGCAGCAGAATGTCTCGCCTCGCCGCTATCGCGCACCAAATCCCCAGCCGCGGCTTTCAGTCGCAGAGCGATGATGGGCGATTCCGAGGCGCGACGATCCGCCGTTTTTTTCCCGACAGACCGATATTAAACTCTCCGTTTTTTTCTCTCCTAGGCCTTTTAATTTCATGTCCATATCGATTTATCAATATACTTTTTTTGAATGTCAAGCAGAGGGACCTCGATTTTGGACCTGTTTTTTAAGTTGTCCGAGTTGTTAATTTGCTCGGTATAGAAAGGACGTTGTGTCGAAAGTAATCACGCAATGTAAGGAGCTTGTCAACGATCATAAACGTCCAGCAAGTGAAAGAAAGCGCACTGCCAACACCTCTGCCAGCCACGAGGTGACCAGCAGCAAAATCCGTAAATTTCCCGAAAAAATCGACCGTGGCGCCGGCATCGGCGACCGACCAGTCGGCCAAATAGCTAAAAATCAACTCAAGGTCTCCCAACACAGGGTCTAAAATTCCCAACTCCTCACCGACAAGATCAAGCCCGCACGCCTGAAAAAATGCCGAAAATTCAGACGTGTGGCCGCAGGTCCGCGATGGGAGCGCATTCCCTTCGCGGTGCAATTTTTTGCGGGTGCACAACCAGCAGAACGTCAGAATCCAATCCGATGAGGCCCTCTGCACGTCGGCTAACGACGAACACCGTCAAAATCCGGGCCGTCATCGCCTAAGGCGAAATTTGTGCCAGCGGCAAGAATTCCGAGATTTTCGTGGATCAAGAGGGCAAAATTCTTGCGCCGCGTTAATCTCGATTTTCTCCTGCTTCTGTGCTGTCAGAAGAACCTTGGCAATGCAAACTTGGCGTTATAACTAGACTCAGAGCCGGCTCACAAGGCAAAAGTGAGTCAAGGCCAGTAATCGGACCGATTTTCCCGATTTCACCTTGTCTGCGAAATGTGCGCCTGCTCGCCGGATTTGAATCCGATGGACAAAATTTTTTATTAAATTGAAAGGTAGCATCTGTACTACACGCCACAAAAGTTGGGAGTCGCAAAGTAAATGCTGCGCCAAGAACGGAACCGATTTCCCCGAAAAAAGCTGCGGCCAAAAGCCCAAAATTTTAAGTCACGTTTGGAGCTCTCTATCGCCACCAAAAGCAGCCACTGTGAAACGGGTTGCATATGTTATAAATAATGCTCTATGTTATTGATGATGACCGTTACTTTTCCGGAATTTTGATTGCAAGGAAAAATATAGCTATAAAAATAAGTTTCCATTTTTTTGCCGCACCCTGTATAACAAAATCATGTTCTAAATTTACCCCCGCTTATCAAAAACTCTTTTACTCGCAGTTTAGCGTCTTTTCGTTAATACAAGCGGCTTACAAAAGACCGTTCATGCAAACAGGATACCCTAAGAGGCTTATCGAATATAAAACGTTAACGTTGAGCTCTCTTCGAGCTATCTTGATAATCTAAAAATGAACAAAATGAAATCTTTTTTGGATAACAATCTTTTTCAAATTAGAAAAATGAATTTTCTTCTAAAATACGACTCAAAATGCAACCTTCATACCTTTCTTTCTTTCCCATTCTTCCCCTGTCTCATAGTTTTGTGAAAAACAAGTGTAAATTCGTATGTTTCCGACATGATTTTCCTTCAAAAATATCGCTCAAACATCCCGTTTTTAGACAAAAATAAAAACGTTTGCAAAAGAATACAACATGAATCTGCAAAATTGCAAACAACAAGCGGGTTTTTATCCCAGATAAGCGCTCACAACAATAACCATCAAGCGGTCACATAGACACGAACCGAACGAAGTACGGTTTCAAGTGTAGTTTACACTGAAAGTTAATTGTTTTCAAAGGCTACTGTCAATGGGAGTTTGCAAGGAAACTTCAAACCAAACTCGTGATTACCGTAGCAAATTTTCTTACTGAAAATTCGGGAAAGGGAGGTTAAGAGTTTTTGAGGATAAGTGCTGATAAATGAGGAGGTGCTTAAAAGAGGTCAAGAGTCTAAGAAGATGTACTATCAATTTTCGACTTATAAGGGAAGTACCCTCAAAGTTATTTAGGGACATACAGTGACGGAAATGATCCAGTGGCAAAAAAATCTGGGAAACATAAAAAATGCGGCAAAATACCTCCCTCTCCAGGTGAATGAGCTTCATTTTGAAGGGCTTCGATCACAAAAAGAGCGGGCGGGCTTTTGAAATCGGAATTTTTTCACTTAGAGAGGGGAGCATTTTGCCACATTTTTTATACTTCCCGGATGCTAAATGGTACGTTTTTCACTGGATCAGGTCCCCCACTATAGCTGGGGAGGGGACAGGCTCCTTCAGAATCCGTGGTCTGCTACGGTACTGGAGTTTTTCGTCGATCTTCCTTGAGCGCTAGATGTTTACCTTAATATGTATAATCGCTAGAATAACAATCCCTAAAAATCTTATTGTTAGATTTTACCCTATAGGAGCCCCTGGGATATTCAGCAATTTTTATGGCAAATAGAACGTAAAATAAGGAAGAATAAAACGGAAAAATTTTGCCGTCATATGTAACCGGCAAAAAACTAAATTTTTTGTACGCGAATTGAACACCCAACGGCTAAAAGATAATTACATTGCACTCGCACACCAAAAATCGACAACCTACAGAATCTCTGGCCACTGGTTCCATCAGTTTTTAAGGCTACACCCATTGTATTCTCCCCCAGAGATTATTAGCAAAGATTATTCGAAAAACTTACAGCCCATTTTACAAAGCTCTCCATTTTAGCCGGTCCAAAGCCCTATACTCAATAAAACAAAAGGTAAACCAAGCATGCTATGGTATGTATCAAATTTTGTGCGGCTCAGATGAACCTCTTGAGCTGCAGGATGGTCAGCTAACACTCTACAAATCTCCCTCTACAGAACAGCTTTGTAGGCGAGTACTTGATAATGTCTTGCGCTTTGTACTTGTGAAATAAAAATGCTATTTTGTACGTTTTTAACTTTCTCCCACCCTCCCTTTTGCACTCTGCTGGAAGTATGAATATATGTACTACAATACGACATATAGACCGTAAAAAATTTGGCAATACTTTACGACGTATTTTACAAAATTCCGAATAAATCGTGACTATTCATCTGCATTTTCTATCACTTAAATTCCAGTATGAACCGCCTAATATTGACCAAAAATGCTTACTATAACCTACTACATTACTTTGCATGTCTCTTTAACAAAGAGTATTTTAAAAGTACTCTTTATAAAGACCAAAAACTGAACATATCATCGACATCATTTCCCCTGAAAAATCGTAAAAAATTCCCCCAATAGCCTTAACATCTTGCATTTGCGTAGGTAATGGGATGGCGTGCCATGACAAATTTTACGACAAAATGGCACTCCACATGGCATTGTGTCTATATTTGGCGGAGATTTTAAAAAAGTATTTCTGGGAATTGCCTTTTTTGTTAAAGTGCTATTTCGAGCCTGTTTTAATAGAGTTTGTGATTTGGAGAAGCAAAAAACAGAAAATTTGAGTGTAAATAACGCCAGGTATCGTTAAAATTGAAGAGCTTCGCTTTTTGGACTTTGTTTTGTGAGGAAAATGGCTTTTATAGTAAATTTTTTAACTACATTTCGATTGTTACATTAGGGAAAACTCTTTTTATGTTATGGGGTTTTAAAAGTGCAGATTCATTTAAACCGGGCTGCTTGCGGCTTGAAGAACGAAATGCCAAAGAACATTTTTTAGGTCCTGCCGCGAAAATAGATCTTTTTTTGAAAGTTGGCAAGATTGCAAACAGTAAAATGATTATTTAGAAACATGTAGAATACAGTGGCGGGCCTGATCCATTGGCAAAAAACGTACCATTTTGGATCCGGGAAGTATCAAAAATGTGGCAAAATACCTCCCTCTCCACGCGAAAAAATTCCGATTTCAAAAGCCCGCCCGCTCTTTTTGTTAGGGAAAGGACGTGCATTTCAAAACGGAGTTTTTGTTTTACTATCAAAAATGTGGCAAAATGCTTCCCTCTCCAAGTGAAAAAAATTGTTTTGAAGGGCTTCTCATAAAAAGATCGGGCGCGCTTTGGAAATCTGAGTTTTTTTCGCTTGAAGATGGAGGTATTTAGCCACATTTTTGATGCTTCCAGGATGCAAAAATTATACGTTTTTTGCCAATGGAGGTCCCTCGCTGTAAGTATCATAATTTGTCTCTAAAATTATGATGCTGCTACAGTAAAAAAAAATTTGTTTGACATTTTGTTCACCACGCTAAAAACTTGATTCTTAAAATTAAATTGTTTTTTCGAACCTTCCAAAGTCTCCACCTACCGTAGCGCTCTTGTACGGCTCCTGCTCCTCGAACACACACAGATTCACATGCAATTGTTCGGCGGCCGTGGACGGGATGACCGGCGTCGAGGCCGAGGAGTTGTGGCGTTGCAAGGCGGCGCGCATTGCTCCGCTGCGCCGCCGACGTCTCTCCAAAGTGGTCGCCGTGATGGTTGAGGTATATTTTTGGCGGTTATTATTATTTGAGGCTGAAATCAATTTGAATATATACAATAAAAATGTAATAAATATTTTTTGTCTGGCATATTCACGGAATATTGGCAAATTGTAATCGAAGAGGTAATCTAATTGCGTGCAGAGCAAAATGGTGCGGTAGTTATTGTAAACGAGTAATTAACAGAGGGGTTTGGGCCAATGTTGGAAAAGGTTCGGACGAGGGGAGATAGATAAAGATAACGTATTATTAGGAGAAAAAATTGCAAAATCTCAAAAAATCATTAAAGAATATTTTAAAAATTTAAAAAAAAAAGATATGAAATTTCGAAAATAATTTTTTTTTCAATTTCTATACTAAAAATAAAAAATTTTTAGACATAATTTTTGAACAAAAATCTTTTAAAAATTACCAAAAAATGTTGACCTTGTAGCCGGTTACTGTGGAATTACAGTTCAAATATTACGCCTTTAACTTCGAAAAATTTTAAAAAATAAAAAAAAATGTAACAAGGTTTCAAAAAGCAAAGATAAAAAATCAAAAAATCTCAAAAATTTGCAGTTAAATAAAATACAAAAATCCCAAAAAAAAGTATTTAAAAAAAATTTCAATTTTAACTTTATCTTAATTTTGCGTAAAAATAAAAATGCCTAAAAAGTAAAATCGAATAAATGAATAAAAATAATAATAATGAAAAAATAATAATGAAAATGGTCTGAATTCGTCACCAACTCTTTTCTTTTCCCGCAGCGCCGACGGCACGCGCTTGATGAGATCGGTATTTATATTTGAATCGGCGATTTTCAGGTGAAAATTTGTGGAAATTATATTGAAAAAATCGATAAAAACCTTGTGAATTGAAAGAACTATACGTATTTTAGCCTCCCGTCTTTTTTTTATCACCCTAAATTTACGACGCCTCCCAAGAGACACTCAAAAATTAACGAAGCAGTTTGTTTACAGACAATAGTTCTATATGTCTAAATACCGTCTGTAGAAAACAAAAAAATTTAACAAATTATCCCCAAAAGTAAAGCCCACCCTTTTTTAAAAGTTAAAATTTCTTTTAAGAAATTGAAATTTTTGATTACCTAACCTCGCTTACAAGGGAAGCACTCCAAGTGCGACGCTCAGATTTTCTTTAAATTTTGCACACACGTCGGGTATGGACTGAATATCAATTCCTGAAAGTTTTAGCTCGCGCTTTGCCGGCGCCGCCAAGATATCGAACGATTTTTGCTGCCGAGAGAACACGCTAAACGTGGAGAGCGGTCAAAGAAAAAAAACGCTTTTTAGCCATAACTTTGGCAGTTTCGAGCGTAAAAATTTGATTTTTTGTAGAAACATTATCCTTTACAGTCGAAATAGGTATGAAACTTTTCGTGCCGAAATTCGGCAAAAAGTCCTAAATTTTGGCCAACTTTTGCTCTAAAAATCTCGGTTGTTTCTGCAAAGCGCGAGCTAGGATTTTCGCATTTATCTTAGAAAAAATTATTCTAAATTTGTGCCAAGTTTCATCAAAATCTGAGCTTCGCACTTGGAGTACTTACCCTGTAAAATTTCTTTTAAGAAATTGAAATTTTTGATTACCCAACCTCGCTTAATCAAAGTTCGAAAGCCTTGAAACTTGGTGTATTGATCTCCCGAGAGAGCCGAGATCCCCAATTCCCCCCTTTTCTCGGCTCTTCGTTTTTATATAATTTCTAAATTTCGCAAAAATTCTTCTTTTCGTAAAATAAAAAGAAAGTAAATCGAACAAGAAAAAAGAGCGCGCTAATTGGCGAGAGGCCGAGAGGAGGGGGAGAAAAAAGTTTTCATAAAATTTTTGACGGGAGATCAATCAAAATCCTCTCGGGAAATATTCAAATGCCCCCAAAGGACGGGTTAATTTATATGATTTTGATGGGAGAATACGTTTAATTTGACGAACAATCTCAAAGCATTGAGAATAACGGGTTGTAAAATTGGATGTGGGACAAAGTTGAAGGTCATAAAGGTCGAGGGATGCGTAAAGAACGACTTTTTTGCCGGCTAAAATTATGCAAATTTTCAAAAAAATTTGCATATTTTTTTTTCAAAATTTGCATAGGCTTAGAAAACTATTTTTTTGACGAAAGTGAGAACGACTTTTTTCTTTGCTAAAATTATGCAAATTTTCAAAAAAAAATTTGCATATTTTTTTTTCAAAATTTGCATAAGCTTAGAAAATTATTTTTTTGTCGAAAAAATAACAATGTGGATTGCAAATCGAATTTTGCTCAAAAAATGAATAAATAATAATGCTAAATTTGCATAATTTTTTACTATGAATTTGCATAAAATTCCCAAATTCTTCATGAAAAGTTTTTTTAGGCCCCTTGATAAACTAAAAATGCGGTTTTTGAAATGAAATTGCTCAAAAATTTAAATAAATTTGCTTAAAAATTTAAATAAATTTGCTCAAAAAATCGGAAAATTTTTGGAAATTCATTTTTTTGCTAACCCTCAATCCATGAGGATTCCGTATTTTACAATAAAATTTCCTAAATTTCATCACCCACCATCCCCCTCACCATTCTTCATTTCTCAACAATTCCGCAGGTAAAAACCGGAAAGCCCCGCCGAAAGCGGCGAGTCCGCGCGGCTTCCAAACCTTGAGAGCGGCTTTTCGAAATTCGCCAAAAACACACACACACAATGGGATACGTGTAATTTTCGGGGCGCAAATTACCGCCTGCAACGCAGGAAGATGATGTTTTCGGTTCCCATGGGCAGATGGCTGGAACATCAACAGTGCAATTATAAGGGGGAAATAGGGAAAAATATGGGGATTTTGAAGGCTGCACGGTGCGAAGAAAAAACATTTTTTTTTTTGATTTCTGCACTGTGCAAAAAATTTTTTTTTTTTTTTGATTTCAGCTTTGTGCAAAAAAATTTTTTTTTTTTTGATTTTTGCACTGTGCAATTTTTTTGATCTCTGCACTGTGCAAAAAATAAAAAAATCTTTTTGCACAGTGCAGGGTTTTTTCTGCTTGCACTGTGCAGAAAATTCATTTTTTTGTAAAAAATATTTTCTTTTATAAAAAAAATGTGTAAAAAAATATTTTCTGTTATAAAAAATATGTAAAAAAATCATTTTTTATAGCTGCACGGTGCAAAAAATCGAACATTTGCACCGTGCAAATCCCAAAAAAAAAGAAAAAAAAACATTTTCTGCAAACGTCTAATTACCTCAAATTACATTTCCCAACGTCAAACCCGAGCTCATTATTACACTTGTTGTCTAAAAATACCCGCAGAAACTCGAATTAATTCCCACGCAAGAGCTCGTCGATAATTTTAGACCCGGTGTTTTGGACGACATCCGACGGACCCTGCAATTATCTCCCATCTCTTTCATTGTATTGATTACGTCGGGAGAAAGCGAGATGATTAAACGTTGTAATAGATACGTTGGCTGGGTTCCACGTTATAATTTATGAACGTCGAAGAGGGGATGGGTACAAAAATGGAGGGTTTAGGGCAAGTGATCAGAAGGAACGGTGGAAAAAATGCAACAACAGAGTGTTTGGAACCAATATTAAGGTTTCAGATCATTTTTGGAAAAAATTGGATGATTTTGAAAAATAATGTAGGGCGCAGTTCGCGGAATTCAAAAAGTTATTAAAGCCGGAAAAACCAGACGGTCGTAATTTTCAGGTTCAGAAATTGCTGTACAATAAAATTTATCAAGTTTGGGTGAGTTTAGGGACCCAACATAGGGCGCAGCTTGCGCTTTTGAAATATAGACTTAACTTCAAAACGATGGTAAAAATGATCTAAAATTGACAGAAAAAATGAGGAAAACGCTGAAAAATATTTTCCAATAATTTTTGCGTTTATTCTAGGGCGCAGCTTGCGCTTTTGAAATATAGACTTAACTTCAAAATGATGACTAAAATGATTTAAAGTTGACAGTATAAATGAGGAAAACGCTGAAAAATATTTTTCAATAATTTTTGCGTTTATTCTAGGGCGCAGCTTGCGCTTTTGAAATATAGACTTAACTTCAAAATGATGATAAAAATGACATAAAATTGACAGTAAAAATGAGAAAAACGCTAAAAAATATTTTTCAATAATTTTTGCGTCTATTGTAGGGCGCAGCTCGAACTTTTGAAAACTTAAAAATCGGAAATTTTAAAAAACTAAATTGCCTAGTAAGCTCGTTGGTGTGCAATATGTACAATATGCTCCCACTAGCCCTACATTTTTTACAATTGGATTACAATTTGGAGGCAAAAATTTCGAAATCCCATACAGACATATCGACACAAACATGTTATGAACACAAAATATAATAAAAAAGATGAGAGCATTCAGGCTTATCGCGAAATCTTATTGCCAAAACAAAAGGGCTAAAAATGGGGAAAATGTTATTAAAAAAGGAAAACAAACGCTATTGAGAGAAAAAGAATGATTTTTTGGTCTAAAATTTCTTTTATTTTTTACTATATTTTGCTGGTCCTTACTTCTTATACCTCATAAAAATTTCTCAACGATCTTTGCATTCCCTTGCAATTTCACATTATAACCCCCGTAAACCTGATGATTCGAAGGCAAAGAGCCATTGATATTACGAGATTCGAATACCACATGAACAGCATATGCGTTCGCAAAAAAGCAAAGTTCAAAGTTAAAAATAGAAGCTTTGCAAACAAATTCTAAACGGCTTTCGAACCGAAAATGAATTTATTTTGCAATTTTTGTGTTATATATTTTAGAAGGTGTCAAAAACAAGGTTAATGTAAATAAACAACAAGAAAAAGGATAACGCACAGTGAAAGTTGAAGAATAAAGCAGTAAAAGTCAGTGTACAAACAGTAAAGTGTATTTCGAAAGACCATAAAACTGATTGGTTAATTGGAACAGAAAGTCCGCGGAGACTTTACTTTACGTCATCAAAAACTACAACCGCATGGTTCCAAGGTAA